GCTGATTTGGATCTTTGTAAGTCTTTCATTTTGCTTAATGAAATGCTACAATTGTTCTTTATTTAATCATTGTTTGCTTAATTCTCCTAAACAAAGCCACCAGTAAAAGTCATCTTCATTGAGGCTGAAAGAACTAAAACACAATCGTCTGATAATTGGTTGACAATTAATATTCTGTAAGGACTGATTGATCCTTGCTAGCACGCTCATAATTACAAAAATAACCTTCGAAAGCTAAAAAGCCAACATATGTTTTTGGCACGCCCGGTGGGACTAATTGAAATGGCTAGACGTAAGGGACAATGAGAAAATGAACACTTGGAACAAGGCATGAAAGGAGATGTAAAAATGCCTAATCCAGAGAATAATGTGATAACATATCCTGTGGAAGCACCTATTTTATCAGAACCTATGGTCGAACAGACCAGCACTTCGGAACAAGTACCGCATGTTCAGAATATTGGACGAGACCAAGGAATTGGACCATCCACTGTTCTATCTACTCAGGTAATGAATCCATGGGGTGGCCTAGTAGATGCCATGGGACAGCAGTTAATGAACACAATGGAAAGGTGGGCAACATCCTTTTTAGATCGAATGAATACTCATCAACCAACTAACGCAACGTATATAAAAGAAAATTCAAATGTCCCTTAGTAAAGATTGGCTAGAGATAAACAGCCTATGTAGAGTAATGGATGCACTAACGGTCAAACTAGTAACCAAAACCATGAAAGACCATCACCTCAGTCTTGGTATGAGCCTCTTTCGAGGCCTGTGGCAAATCAAAATGCCTCCTTACTTAACAGTGAAGCTATGCAAATTGGTGGACCTGGCCCAACACAAGAAAATGGCATAAGGATGTTTCCAAATCTCATGTTCGAAGCCATACCTGGCACGAGGGAGTTCACTAATCCTTTGTTCGAATTTGTACCTGGGGGGTGGAAGGGTTTCCTGTAACTAGAAGAGACATAACACCTGTTCCAGCAAATTTCGCAGGTCCTTTCGCAGGACAGGCTCAAAGAGGTCACCCATGCCCTCAGCAGCAGCCAGCACCACAGGGACAACCAGTCCCAAACATACCACCTTATGGACCAAGAGGACCCCAGGCACAAGGTTGTCTACCAAATCTTGTGTTTGTTCCTCTAGTAGTGGTTCAACAGGTACAAAATATGGTTACTAGGGACCAAATTGCTGATATTGTTAGAGAGATGTGTGGACCAATGGCTCAGGGGGTTCAAACTCCTGTGTATAGGAAACCATACCCAGAATGGGTAGATAGGGTACATGAATGCCCAAGAGGCTTTAGGATACCAGACTTTACCTTTTTTTATGGAAATGGAAACTAGTTAACGGTTGAGTATATTGCTAGGTTCGCAACTCAGTATCGTGAATTTACCAATAATGACTACATGAAGTTAAGATTGTTCCCAAATTCTCTAACTGAGGCGGCCTTTGTATGGTATATTAACCTTACACCTGGCTCTATCCAAACTTGACAACAAATGGAGGAGGCATTTCATGCCCAATTCTTCCAAACGGAGCCAGAAGTTTCTATGGCAGACTTGGCAAGGTTAAGTCAAAGACCTGATGAAAAAGCTGCTCAATTTATTGCCAGGTTCAAAAAAGCACGAAACAAATATAGGATTGTCTTACCAGAGCCTGATTTTGTGAGATTGGCTCAAAATGGTCTATAGTTTAGGCTTCGAAAGAAGTTTGACTCAACTGAGTTTAGAGACTTAGTAGAACTGACCTATAAGGTATCTAGGTATGAAGCTTTACTAAAGGAAGAACAAGATCGAAGTAATGCATCATACAAGACGTATTATAGAGATCCTAATTATGAGATTGATGCAGCAGAGATTGTAGGGAAAGAACCTGTGATCTGTGAAGCATTAATTCATAAAGACACAACAGTAGACCAGCAGTTTAAAAATAAAGACCTTTATAGGAAATACTCTTTTGATTTGACAAAGGCAGATGACATTTTTGATAATTTGCTTGCTGCGAACTTCTTGAAGTTACCAAAAGGAGTCAAAATTCCGTCTCTAGAGGAACTTAAAGGAAAAGTTATTTGTAAATGGCATAATTCTTGGTCTCACTCAACTAAAAACTGCATTGTTTTTCGAGACAGGATCCAAAAACAGATTCGAAAGGAAAGTTTGAAATTCCCAGCTAAAGCAGAAAAAGCCATGGGATTGACACTAATCCATTTCTAGAAATTGGAGAAGTGGCAACCAATGTTATTGTGCCAGACTTCCAGAACTTGCCCTTGAAAGAATTAGAAAAGGTCAATGTGCAAATGCATGTTGCCAGCCAGACTACTGTTAAGAAAAATGCTAGATGATGATTCTTTAGAGGCAGCTATTGGACAAGGTTTTCCAGACTAGAGGAAAGACTCTGATGAAGAAGCACTAGATGATGATTCTTTAGAGGCAGCTGTCATGCAAAAAATGTGTCCCAGATGTAGGTTGAGCTACAAGTGGCTAAAAAGGCTTCCGATTAATGGGAAACAATATTACAAAGATGTGCAAATGCGTCCTAAACCAATTAGTGTTTATAACAAAAGGCCATATCTAACTGGTATTAGGCAGCAGCCATTAATGGCTGAGCCAACAGCCACTTGAATGCACTCCAAAGGCAAAAAACCTCTACATGAATCTAGACCACCTAACTATTACAGAATGAAGGGTAATCATCCTGAAAGGAGACCTGAAAGGAATTCAAGTTATGAGATCAAAGCCAGGGATTGGCCTCCTAGACCAGCCTCACACAGGATGGAAAGTGGCCACCTTTATGGAAGGCCTGAATTGGGCCAAAAACAGGGAGTCAAAAGCAGTGGCTTTCACAGCTAGTTTCAAAGATGGTTTCGAAGGAAGAAAGAGACAGTTCAACAACTGGGCTAGTAAGTTCATGCCTACCCAAAGAAATGTTGTCGGAGATCAGGGCATGATGGTTAAACCCCCTTTGGTAGCTCCAAATAATTGGGTGTTACTAAAGCATCCAAAAACAAGGGAACCAGATATGGTCCCAGTGATCTTTAGATCCCAAAGAAGGAAGATCCAACGAAGGTACACTCAGTACCAGAAGGATTAGAAAGAAAGTGGAGAAAGCTCTTCATTGGTCCAGCCAAATGGCCAAGCAGAAGTTTAAAGTTAGATCATAATCCAAAATCGACTCTTCAAGACAAGGGGAGTTGCAAGAGCAATTGGCCAAAGTTCATTCCGAACTGAAAGCCAAAGAGAGATCCAATTTGGCAGGACTGGAAGAGGCTTTGATTGAAAGTGATAGTGAGACTGAGGAAGAAGTTGGCCTAGGCCAAAGGAAGGAGATGGTAGAGGAAGAAATGTTTGAAGCCTTCATGGCTGAACAAACATTTTTGGTTGAAAAACTAGTAGAAACAGATCATTCGAAGAAAGTTACTAGTACCGAAGTGCCAGAATGCAGCATGGAAGATGCTTCTGAAGTAATTGAACAAGTTGGCTAGGAAGAGAAACAGGTACAGCCAGTCATCCAATTTGGCTCGTTTCCTCCAGTATTAGTGAATATGGTACATATACTACCACAGGAATTCTAAGCTGAAGTTGAGAACCAAAAAGGTCAGGAAATTGACCAAATTCCAATTTCTAGTGAAGACTCACAAGTGAGTATGGTGCAAGATGAATCCGAAGTGGCCATACCAATGGAAATCGGAGATGAGAGTGAGGAAGAGGTGAATATTAACCTCTCATATCCATTTGAGTATCCCACGACATCCATGACATAGCATGTCAAACCTTTGTATATCAAGACCTTCTTCGATGGGATACAGATGAACCGAGTATTGGTGGATAATGGGGCAGCAGTAAATTTGCTTCTGAAATCTTCTTTTAAGAAACTAGGAAAGAGGAACCCCAGACTAATCCCAACCAATACAACCATTGTTGGTTTCGCTGGAGACAAACAGATGGCTCAAGGCATTTTGCCCATCAACCTGAGTGTGGGAACCAGGGACTGTATGACTGCATTCTTCGTTATCGACAGCAATGCTAAGTACAATGCTCTACTTGGTAGGGATTGGATTCACACCAACAAGTGTGTGCTTTCCTCTCTACATCAGAAAATAATGATGGCCCTAGGTAGTGGAGAGACAGAGGAGATCAATGCAGATCCTCAACCCTTCATAGCTTGTGCAGATTTTTCAGAGGCCAAATTGTATACTGAAAGAGTGGCACCACTCAGTGTACTGAGGAAACCTGATGGATTAACCGAAGTGACGGCTGATGAGGAATTAGCACACCTGAAACACTTAGTCCAAGAAAGTGCTGATGAGGAGTTTATCGCCAAAGATGACAATGATGCCTGGTTGTAGGCAAAAAGATGGAACCCAGGAGGTCAGGTCTTTGGCTTTAATTAAGTTCTCAGTATTGGACAAGAAATCAATAGTCCAGAAGATGCAAGAGCAAGAGGAAGAAGCCATGGCAATTGGCTGTAAGCAGGAGCAGCAACAGGTCAGGGTTTTGGCCTTGGGAAAATACTGTGCATTGGATATTGAAACAAAAGTCCAGGAGATATAAGAAGAAGAAGCCTTGTGGACAGACTTTGTCTATGAGGAGGAGAGCAAAGATATTGAATCAAAAAAACTAAGAGCAGGACAGAGCAAGGAGATTGTTTTGAAGATAAAAGAAATAAAAAAAAAAAGCATCAGTGAGTCCTCAGATGCAAGACCCTTTGGAAAAAGTAAACTTAGGGGAAGGTTCTATACAGCAGCCCACCTATATAAGTGCTTGGTTGAATGCTCTTGACAGGGACCAGTTGTTGGTGGTCTTGAAGAAATATAAAGATTGTTTTGCATAGTCTTATAATTGTCACGACCCAAACCCGCCCCTATAGGTTTAGCGTCGTAACCGGGCAGTAATCCTTGGATTACCAAAGGCCTCTTTACAGAATAACATGTAATTAGGGGCTGCGGAAGCAAATAATAATTAAACAACTTCCATTGAGCTGTGCAGACTTATATGAGACAAAAAAAATTTAAACTTTATATACATATATACACAGATTAGACAAAGAGGGACTTAGCAATATTTACAAAGTACACAAGACTTGTCTAACCAATCAAGAAAACAAAACTTAAACTTTAAATCACGTAGCCATAGTCACTTGACATATCTAGAACCTCCACGGGAGGCACATAGGTTGACTAACAAAAACATATTCCAGGTAGATGCCTTTAAGCCTGGTCACGCGTCTGTTCACCTACATACATAAATAATACAGTGAGGTAGAGTCCAATGAATAATAACAGAGTAAAGGTTTTTAATGAATAATGTCCATATCAAATTTAGAAATCAGATTTCATATCTCTTATTAAATCAGAAGCGTAGTCATGTTCATGTTCGTATTCGTATTCGTATCAGAAACTTAGAAATCAACTTTCAAATCTCTTATCCAATCAGAAACGTAGTCATGTTCATGTTCATATTCGTATCAGAAACTCAGAAATCAGCTTTCAAATCTCTTATCCAATCAGAAACATAGTCATGTTCATGTTCATATTCAAATAATGTGTGGTACTTCATTTAGCGTAGCATATCATGTTGGTCAAGCATATCAAGTTCCACAATGGAACCTCCGGTATCGGGTAACATATCACATACGTGGGCCACAGTATTGTTTCCCCCGGGCGAGGGCCTGTGCCACGGTATTGTTTCCCCCGGGCGAGGGCCTGGGCCACAGTATTATTTCCCCCGGGCGAGGGCCTGGGCCTCATGACCATAAGCCACAGTATTATGTCCCCTGGGCGAGGGCCTTTGCTAAAGATACCACAATTACATTTCAAAGAAAATTGGACAATCATTCATTCATACAAAACATAGCATTTCAAAAACTTATCATCTCATATCATCAGAAAATAATTAAGGTTAAACATAACTTTATAGAGTTATTACTCACAGATAGTTGCAGAAGCAGATCAGACAGATCACAAATCAGGCAGACAATAGCGCGTGACCTACACAAACACATAACATATACACATCGAAACACAATATCAATTCCTTGATCAAGCTTGACTTTTCTTGTCTTTTTCTACCCAAGTAGTCTGAGATTCTACTACGTGTATTCTTCCTTTAGTTAAATGAATCGGATTCTTATTTCACATATCCTTTCATTACTAAATCATTCTTTTCTGAATAAACCAATTCCTCACTTGGCTTCTTAATCAAGTATCACTAAGTTAATGACTTATTCTTTAATCAACTAATTAATTTTGATTGTTAACTTATTAATCCTTATAGAGCCATAAAACATGTCTAGAATGCTTTGGAAACAGATGAGAATAAAAATGTGAATTAAATGCGATTTTTCAAAATATGCTGAAAATAGGGACTTCGCTCGAGCGCCACTTTGGTCGCTCGAGCGGACTGTAAAATTTGAAAAACTTCTAAGAGCTCGATTTTCACGCTCGAGCGAGACTTCTCTCGCTCGAACGGACAATGTAAATTCTGGAATTTTCAGAATTGTAATTGAAGTTTAGATTTGATATTCAAAGCCTCAAAACATGTATTTGTGGTACACAAATATGGAGGACCAATGTATAATTTAGTAAACACTCTCAATTAGAAATTATTTATTCAAAATCATGCTCCAATTGTCTAAATTTAGTTTTAACTCAATTCATCCATATCAAGCCAAATTCCAAACCCAAAGTGATTAATCTCCATAAATTGAATATGGCTCCAATTTCTCATTTTCTTTAGTTACATAAAATTGACTTCAAGCACTTTTTATTTTCCTTCAAAACATGAAATTAAAGTCACAAACTCCTTATAAAATTATTCACTTGTATGAAATTAACATCAAAATTACTAATTTTATATTCTTATAAATTTTCCCAACTAATTTCCATAATCTTAAACTTAACTTAATTTGTAACCTCAACTTAATTCATAACCATAGGTGTTTCAAAATATGCTTAATTTAAATAAAATTTTAAATTACATTACATGCATGGATTAAAAATCTAATTATAAAATCAAAACTTTATCTAACGTTAGGATTAATTCTAAATTTCCATAAACTTGATGTTCATAAAACATTTTCTTTTTCTCTTCAAAATATGAATTTAAATTGCTTAATTTCTTCAAAATCCGTGATGCATGTAAATATAGATTCAAATACTCATAGAATTCCCTCATGCATGTAACAATGAAACTTAATTTCATATAAGATATGCAAAATCAAACCCAAAATAATTAACTTCTAAGTTGATTTCCATAATCATTAACCTAACTCATTTGCATGGGACAAATCTTTAATAAACCCTTGTTACATGTAATTTATAGAACTTAATTCAAGAATAATTCTCTAAATTGAACCCAAATTTAACAAATTAAAAGAATCATAACTCATGTTTTTCAACCTAACTTGATTTAACATACAAATCCAATTTCTATGAATTCATGATTAATCCTCAAATCTTTATTTTTAATCTTCTCAAAATACACCTTGAATAAATTTTTGTCTAGATTAAGTAAACAACACTAGAAAGAGGATGAAATTTCTTACCTTAGGATGAATTTTTCATAATTTTTAACTTAAATTTTGATATTCCACGAGGCTTTCTTCTTCCCTTTTCTTCCTCCCTCTTGGTCTCCCTCTCTCTCAGCCGTGCTCTGTTTTTTTTCCACCCACACAAGACTTGATGATGTACATATATATTTGTTGCCTTAGAATTAACACACCAACATTCCTTTGTGATATATATAATTTATTAAAGGTAAATTAATATATCATTCACATTTAATTTAATTGGACATCATTTAATTTTAATTAATCTTAATTAGCCTAAACACAAATCCCACATAAATTAATTAGTCTAATTGACTTCCTTTAGAGTCCAATTAATTATATTTAAATTTATTAATCTGAATCAGATTTTAATCAAACTTCCAAAAGGCTCCAAATTTCTGTCACTTAAATTACATATTCAAATTGAACACCCCATAAATAAATTTAATTCGTAATAATTACAATTCTCAATCTTCATAATTTAATTAACTTGATTAACTCCAATTAGGATCTAATTAATCGAATCTCAATTTTACTAAATTGAATCGAATATTTAATTAAACTCCCAAATGGTCCGTAATTAAGATTGAATTGATTCAACTTCTTAATTTCACTTCCTTAAGCCATTTGGACCCTTAATTTCTAATTCCAAAATAAGTACTTAATAGAACCATAAATGAATCAATCTCCATAATTTTCGTAAAATCCAGATTAAATTGAAATAATTGGCAATTAAATTTCAAATCTCCTTAACTAATTAAGTGCTAATCATTATACGCGATGAGGTCGTTACAATAATGAACTACCAGGATTGGATATGTCATTAGTAGAACATAGGCTCCCTATAAGGCCTAATTTCAAGTCATACAAGCAAAAATCAAGAAGAAAGAGTCCTGAGGTGATTCAAAAAGTCAATGAGGAAATTTTTAGGCTCCTCAAGGCAGACTTTATTAGGACAGCCAGGTATGTTGAATGGCTATCTAATATTGTGCCTGTAGTTAAGAAGAATGGCAAAATGAGGGTATGCATCGATTTCAGAAATTTGAATTTAGCAACTTCAAAAGATGAGTACCCTGTGCCCATAGTAGATTTATTTGTGGACAATTCGGCAGGGCATCAAATTTTATCAATGATGGATGAACACTCTAGTTATAACCAAATCTGTATTGCAGAAGAGGATATCCATAAGACAGTATTCCGATGTCCTAGGAACATTGACACCTTCAAATGGGTTAAAATGCCATTTAGTCTAAAGAATGCTGTGGCTACATATCAAAGGGCTATGAACACTATCTTTCATGATCTTATTAGAGGATACTTAGAGTGCTACATTGATGATATTGTGGTAAAATCCCAATCCATGGAGGAACATTTGTTTCACTTGGAAGCAGCTTTTGAAAGAATGAGAAAGTTCAAGTTGAAACTTAATCCTCTCAAATGTGCTTTTGGTGTATCAGCTGGAAACTTCTTGGGCTATGTAGTACACAAGAAGGGAATACAGATTGATCAAAACAAAGCCAAAGCTACTATCGAAGCCAGACCTTCATCAAGTAAGAAAGAAGTACAAAAATTCCTTGGGCAGGTTAATTTTTTTCGAAAATTTATTTCTAATACTGCAGGGAAAACTAAAGTATTTTCCTCTTTATTAAGGTTGAAAGATGAAGAAGAATTTGTGTGGACAGCAGAGCATTAAACTGCTTTCGAAGGAATCAAAGCCTATTTGGCCAACCCTCCAGTGCTGATGCCACCAAAGGGTGATAAGCCCTTGAAGTTGTATATAGCTGCAGCAGAAGATTCACTGGGAGTTTTCCTAGCCCAAGACAATGAAAAAGGCAAGGAGCAAACTGTTTATTATCTTAGTAGGTTTCTAAATCCTTGTGAATGTAAATATTCAGCTGTAGAAAAGTAGTGCCTTGCCATTTTGCTGCAATGAAATTAAGATACTATCTTTTGCCTACAACTGCCTTGGTAATTGCAACCACAGATTTGGTTAAATAGATGTTATCTAGACCTATGTTGAGGGGAAGAATTGGCAAATGGATACTAGCTTTATCATAATTTCATCTAGAATGTGTCCTCCAAAAGGCAGTAAAATGACAAGTTTTAGCTTATCTTTTGGCAGACCATCCATGTCAAACAGAAAGCCAAGAGATAATGGAACTTGGTATAATTAGTATTGAACCATGGCAAATGTGGTTTGATGGATCATAAGCCAATGGTCTGACTGGAATTGGTGTGGTAATTAAGTCACCACAAGGGGTAGAAACCACACATGGTTTCAGAGTGGATGAAATTACTTGTTCCAATAATCAAGCTGAATACGAAGCTTTAATATTGGGACTGGAAATACTTATTGGATTACAAGCACATGCAGTTGACATATTTGGAGATTCTTAATTGGTAGTTAACTAGGTGTAAGGGATTTTCAAATGTCAAAGTGTAAGCATGTTGCCATACTATGTTGTTGCATTGTATTTGCTGTCTCAATTTCTAATAGCAAATGTAACTTATGTCCCCAGATTCTTGAATAATAAAGCTAATGATGTGGCTCAGAAAGTTTTGAATTTCAAAAGAAGGGACAACACTCAAAGGAACATAAGCCAAACAACATATCAGAAAGTAATACTACCTTTGAATAGAAGAAATATGGTCTTAGAAGTCAATCATAATGACTTATAGGAACAAGATTGGAGACATCCAATAATGCAGTATCTAGCTGGCCCATCTTCAAAAGCCAACAGAAAAATCAAATTGCAGTCTATGCAATACATAATGTATGGTAATACTCTTTACAAAAGGGGGATAGATGGGTTATTATTGGAATGTTTAGGTGCAAAGGAAACATTGACAGCCATGGCTGAGGTTCATGAAGGCATCTGTGGTACTTATTAGCTTGGTGTGAAGATGAGATGGCTGCTTCGAAAGCATTCTTACTATTGGCCAACCATCCTTAAGGATTGCATATAATATGCTAGAGGTTGCCAGGCATGCCAGAAGCATGGCGCAATAAGACATGTACCTATAACTGATCTACGTGCAGTTGTGAAGCCTTGGCCATTTAGATGATGGGCCATGGACATGATAGGGAAAATACACCCACCTTCTTCGAAGTATCATTGTTTCATCCTAGTAACCACAAATTACTTCACTAAGTGGGTCGAAACTAAACCGTATAAGGCTGTAGACCAGACTGAAGTTATTGGATTCATTAAAGATCTTATCCACAGATTTGGCATCCCACAGACCATAACTGTTGATAATGGAACTGCATTTGATGAGAAGATGGTAACGTCTTTCGTGGCAGAATTTGTAATTAGTTTTGTTAATTCTACCCCCTATTATGCACATGCCAATGGCTAGGCAGACTCATCTAATAAATCCTTGAAGAAAGGAATACAGAAAGTTGTAGAAGACAATCTCAGGGATTGGTATAACTTACTATTGGATGTATTATGGGCCTACAGGATATCTCCAAGATCAAGTACAGGAGTTACTCCTTATGCCTTAGTATTGGGCATAATGCAGTGCTACCTGCAGAAATTAACATCAAGTCTTTATGGGTGAGAGGCCAGGATCAGTTAATTCCTAAGTAGTACCGTCAGAGTATGTGCTTGGAATTAGAAAGTAAGGATGAAGCTAGAATTCTGGCCTTAAATAACATTCTTTTCCAAAAAAAGAAAGCAGCCAAAAACTACAATAAAAAGGTCAAGCATATTAGCTTTGATAAAGGTGATTTGGTATGGAAGACAATACTCCCAATAGGGATCAAAAGCCACAAGTTTGGCAAGTGGTCACCTAACTGGGAAGGACCATATCAAGTTCATAGAGTCTTGCCTTTAGGAGCATATCATTTGAAAAATTTGAATGGATATGTGCATCCCAAGAAAATTAATGGCAGATATTTGAAACTTTATTATCCAACCATATGGGAGACATAAGAAATAGAATAAATGCCAAATAAAAGAACATGGAAACGCTCAAATGATAAATAAGGATTTTATTTCATAATAAGTTGAATACATGTAGCCATAAATTGGCCCAGAAGTCAGTACAATGTTTCAGTTGTTCCTTTACAATAGATTTTCTACTCTCAAGAGATGGGAACAACTGAATGGCTGTAGCCATATCCTGTTTTCGATCAGCCAGTCCTTGGTTGGTGATCTGCAGCTTGGTGGTAGTTCGATCCAAAGCGTGATTGACTGCTGATAATTCTTCTTCAAGTTGAGCTTTCTTCTCCAATAATTGAGCTCGGAATTGGGAGACAGAGGAATGTTGCTCCTTCAGTTCTAACACTTCAGCATGAATTTGAGAAACAAAACTCTGGTCTCTCAGCAATTTTTCCTCTGCAGCCTTGGCAATATGGCAGATGTTGATGTAGAAAATCAATAGTGGCTGCCGCCTGAGATAAATGACTTGAAACAGTCATGTTGGATTGTTCAACAATCTTACAGCACTGGAGAAAGCCATTTCTAATTATAGGCTTTTGTAAAGCTTCGAAAGGAATCCTTGAGAAGGATGTCAGCAACTCCAAACAGCTGTCCAAGTCTATTGAAGGTAAGGAAGTCTTATTACTGGAAGAAGAGCTTTAAAAAATTTCTAGTAAAGAATCAGCCAAGACTAATGGCTCAGTCTCATTGCTAGCTATTGGAGATGTGGAAGGTATGTCAAAGAGACTAGCTAACCTAGCTTCGAAGATGTCCACCTCATCCGTTGACATGGAGGGTGCAAAAAGAACTCTGGTAGAAGGAATAAATGGCTGTATAGGAGTAGGAGAAGAATGTGAAGTACTCCTAACAGTTTCTATAGTTTTGGCTACTAGTAGCTCAAGAAAAGAGGGACTGGTGCTAAGCAAAGATAACGGACGAAGAATTGGAGGGCTACCAGTGTCTGCTCTATGGAAATTAGCCATTACTGGAGATGATGTAATAGTTGGAATTTCCTCAGGAAGGGAAGGAGCGGCAAGGCTTAAAGGAAGAGCAAATTGAATAGAATTGAAAGAAAAGTGAGGAAAGTTTGAAGTCAAGCCAAAGGATAGGGATGCAGGAATGTTTGGCCTCAAGAAAGGTGTGAAAAATATAGGGCCAGGAAATGGGAGTATTATCTGAATGGGCTCTATCTTTTGAGGTTGTTCAATTT